TTTTTTTTTTTTTTTTTTTTTTTTTTTTTTTTGGTACCGGGGATCAAACTTGGGTCCTTGTGCTGGCAAGGCAGGCGGTGAAATCACTGAGCTAAATCCCCGGCCCTTTCCCTCTCTTTAGATGCACAAGCAGGCACTGCACGGCTCAGGGACCTGCCCGAGGGTTTGAGCTCGGTCCTTCTAACTTGGATGTTTGTGCTCTTTCCACGAAAACCCAGTGTTCTGTCGTGTTGTGCTGTGTGTGCTCCCCTTTCTGTTTCCCCATGTACAGCTCCAGCCCCACCGATGTCCAGGAGCTAGTGAGGGGCTGTGGAGTCTGCAGCCCCGGTACAGCTGCGCTCCTCGGAGCAGGAGCTGCTTTTCCCCACACATCACATTCTCATGAACACAATTTGTGTTTTACATTTGATGACTAAATGGGGTGCAAATGGAGTAAGATGCTAAGAGTGGCTGCAGACACCCCACAGTTCAGTCTCTTTTGTCAGACAAGTGTGGCACCCACATCAACGTTACAGTAAGCTAAGAGGAAGAAGTGTTTTTCAGCAAAGATGAGGAATGATCAGCAAAGAAGGGAGATTCCAAAAGTAAACTCTATGGATATTGCTTGTCCTGCATTTTTTTTTTGGAGACAGAGTCTCACTATGTATTCAGGCTGGGCTTGAACTCTCTCTGTAGCCCTGGCTGGCCTTGAACTCACAGCCATCCTCCTGCCTCAGCCTCCTGAGTGCTGAAACAGGCATGCACCACCAATCCCTGGCTTCTATCCCTGAATAAGTTTTATGGTGGTTTGGCAAAACCAAATGTGTATCTCCCTCCATCTTCTTCCCAGCAAAATTGGTGGTTACATTAAGGAAGAAAATAATGAACTTTCTTGAGATCTAGTTTCTCACCTTAACCATTCTCTGATCTGTGTGAGGTCACTGTTAACCCCTCCACCCCCCTTATTTAAAGGAAAGTGAAACCCAGGCTGAATCTTTTGTATAGATTGTAGACAGTCCAACTTTGTGCATTAGAGGCCATGTTCTTGCTGAATGTGGTGGTGCATGCTGGTAATCTCAGATACTTGAGAGGGTGACGCAAGAGGACCTCAAGTTCAAGGCCAGCTGGGGTAATTTAGCAAGACCGTGCTTCAAAATACAGAACTAGAAGAAGCCAGGTGTGGTGGTGCATGCTTGTAATCCCAGCACCTTGGGAGACTGAGGATGGAAGAACTCAAGTTTGAGCCCAGCCCAGGTCATTTAGCAAGACCCTGTTTCAGAATAAAAAGGGCTGGGAGTGTAGCTCAGGGCGAAGGACCCGGGTTTAGTCTCCAGCAGAACAGAGCAGAAGATGGGACCATCCAGCATGATACAGGTGGTGGCTTTTCTGTCCTAATTGTACTTGGGGCTGAGCTGACCAAATTGTTGAGGAAATTTATCCCCATATTTATCATTGTCTTTAATCTTAATATAATAAGTAATTTTAAAAAACCACTAAACATTAAGAATCTTGAAAATTTGTTTTAAAAGTAATGTTATGTCATTTTATAAATATTTGAAAGTATAGTTAAGTTGAAAGAATTAAGTAACTACAAATTGCCTATTCTACTATGTAGAGTTGTATACTATTGATATTTCGGTGTGTGTTGTTAGAAACACATTTGCATGTGTATATATTTATGTATTTTGATGAAATACTACTACTGTATGTCCTGTGTATTGTATTGGTTACCAGTGTGTGAATTACTTCTATAATTTACAAATTTGACTTCTATCCTTTGATTTGAATACTCTGGGAAACCTTTGAAAATTAAAACATTGTCAGCATGCTTCCGTGTCACTTGTAGTAATCGCACGATTTTTCATTGCAGGCACATAGCAAAATTTAGTTAATCTTATGCGAGGTGTATTTTTCTCTTTTATATATTAGACTGCCTTAATTTCCTTGATATCTGTGTATATCTGTAATTGTTTTCTGGGGATAATGTTTTAGAAGTGGAACTACTAGGTCAGGTACTATAGACATTAAGGTTTTGAAAATTGTTAGTAAGTTATTTTCTAGAAGGCTTACCTGTTTTCATTCACTACTTTGGTATGTATTTCAAGATCACAGATTTTAAATAGCTCACTTGCTTTAATATACTCACCTGCTCAGGTCATGTGGTCTGTTAGTCTGAGACCCTTTCGGTTTGTGACCACACTGACTCAGACGTGGTAATTAGCTAGGATCCGTCTTCACGGTGATAAGGGAAGGTTTTCCAGCTGGGATCTCCCGACTCAGAAGCTCTGGGCCCAGGTCAGGTGTTGCTGAAGCCCGCCACACTCAGCTGTCCTGTGTGGCTGCACCCTGGCCTCGCCCCTTTCTGTGGTGATAAGAAGGCTAGAAGGGAAGGCTGTCCCTGCTGAAAGGATCTGCTTTGAGGCACTGAACCACCTCTGTGAGAGATGAAATGATTTAGTGTTTAGTGTCACATCAAAAAGCTGCGTGGTATACAATATATGGAGTGTCTTTTTTTTTTTCCCTTTTTTTGTGGTGCCCAGGGCCTTGTGTTGAGCTGCATCCCCAGCCCCTTTTTATATTTTTTAAAATTTTGAGACAGATCTTGCTAACTTTCCCAGGCTAAACTCGAATTTGGAACCCTTCAGCCTCAGCCTCCCAGAGGGGTGGGCCTGCACTGCCATGCCTTATGGACTCACAAAATAGTTGTTAGTGTGACACTGTTGTCTTGATTTTGCATATATTTTGCAGGTCTGCAAAAGATGATTTTACGTCTATTATTGGGAAATGTCAAGGTAAGAGTTTCCAAAATAGTTTAAAAAAGAAAACTTCAAATTTATAATGCTGTACAATCTATTAAATTAGAATAAATTTTAAATAAATACTTATTAAGGATTATTAAGGCTGTTTATTAAAAGTTTTAAAAATTGTAACTGATTTTTTCTTAATTCCTTGAATATTTTGCATTTTGGGTGGATTTGATATTTAAACTGTTTTTAAAATGTCTAAGCCAGTTTGGGGATAAAATATTTGTAAGTATCTATAGTCTTTTATTTTGGTTTCGGTGTAGACATATTTAGTTATGTCAAGTTCTTTGATATAATTAGCTAAAGTTTATTGAGTGTGCAATATGAGGCATGATAAAAACATAGTGAATGCTTAGAGTAAAAGATACACTGTCATTAATCTCCACCAAAATACTTCCCTGTGCTTTGCACTCATCCTGTCATCCTCGCCACTTTGTGTAGCATCTCTGGAGTCCTCTTTCCTGAGGGTCTTTAATTGTGCTGTCTGGGGTGCTTTGGTGTCCTGAATGGATTCGGAATGTCTCCCTTTCATTTTGACTTTGGGGGCGAGCTAGAAGTCACACATTGCCAGATCCAGTGACCAAGGTGGATGAAGACACAACAGTGTGTTTTTAGGAGCTGCCTTTCTGCTGGGTGGCGCTCGGCAGCAGCATTCACTGTTTTTTTGACCGCTCCTTGTAAAAACCCTCAGGAAACAGAACCCCAGAGCTGCTGCAGAAAGTGGCACGAATGATGGGATGAGCGTGTTTGAACTGAGGGAAGGATTTTGAGGGAGATTAATGGCAGTGTGTCCTTTACTGTATTAGTTTAAAAAATTTTAAGGTTCACGATATTTTTTTCTTTGTAATTTTTGACCATACCTGGCATGTGTATGAACCATCTTGCAGTGTGCTTGCAGTATGATTGTGAATGAAAAGGGTGAGCCTCTCTGAAGCTTGTAGTGAGGGCCTGGGGATAAGACAGCCCCTTAGGTCACACTCCCGGGATCTCCTCCCTTCAACTCTGCCCATCCTTTGAGTGCTGCCCTTGAAGTAAGAATCAGTGGATTAACCCAGTGGTGCACTTAGGCCTTTCCTGATTCATTTACCTTCCAAAAGCCCCATCTCTGATTATGGGAATCTTTTGGGGGACATTTTAGATCCAAATCATAACAGAAACTCATGGGAGGAAATAATTTGGAGGACTCTATTAGGTAAACAGACGTGTTACCTCTGCTTTAGTTGCAGACCTGCATTTCCCGCATCTGCCCTTGTGCCGGTTACTGGTGCAGTAACGGTAGGAGTAGGAGTCAGGTCAGTGCTGTCGCAGTCACTGTGGTGATGACATAGTGCTCTTCCTGTGTGCAGGCACCATACTGAGTGCCTTTTGTGTATCTTCTCATTTAACTGAAAGGAAACAGCCTATATGTTTTATCTTACAGCAGTGTTAGGATAAAGTAAATATTTGACAGTGAAAGAGAATGGGGTACCAGTGATTTGGAAGCCGCAGCGGGGATGCAGAGAGTCCCTCTTTGGAACACCGCTCTAAGGCTCTCATCCAATGCACTGTTAGTGGCTTAGGGCCAATTTCCTTCTGAGCTTTGCCTTTGCAGCCATCTCGATGGTCAGGAGCGCCCAGGTGCCCTTGGATCGTTTGTGGGGCCTGAGCGTCCGGCCTCTGGCATGCTAGGCGAGTGCTCTCCCACAGAGCTGTCACCCCATCCCAGGAGATTTTTGAGTTGCCCTATGATGGTGATATTAATTCTGTCATGTGCCAGAGTCATTAATCTTACAGAGTTTCACCTGCACTGGGGGTAGAGCATCACGGAGTCCTCGTGGAGCTTCCTTTATGCTTAGCATGTAGTGTAACTTCATAGCAGATGCAGTGCTTCTACATAGTTACAGAAATGTACCCCACCTTTCCTAACCTCCTTCTGCTCTGGCCCCCAGATGTCCTAGTGCCTTTGTCTGTAGGCCATCAAGCCAGAAAGCGAGACATTTTCTTCCTTTTTCCTTCCTTCTCTCTTTGATGAGTACTTGTTGGGCAGTCACGGTATGCCAGGCCCTGCTCTAGGCCCCGAATAGACAGCAGGGAACAGGACGTGGCTCCTTGGTGGAAGAGCTTGTGGTGCACCTGTGGGTGAGAGCTCACCTGGCTCCCTGTCGTTGTACCAAGTGTGCGGTGGGGTGGAGGCCTGTGAGTGACCCTGATCCTCTGCTCGGTGACCCCGCTCCTCCATCTGTGCATTGGCTTCCTGCTCCATGTCCGCTCCACAGCCCTCGCAGCCCGAGTTCAGGCTCGGCACATTTTGCTCAGCTTCTCACCACAGTCTGCCTGTGGGGTTCTCTTGTGTGTGACCGTCAGTCATCCCCTCTTCGCACTCCTTGCCAGGTTGGGGAGTGTGTGATGTGTGTGGGGCGGGGTCCAAACTCAGGGCCTGTGCATGCTGAGCAGGTGCTGCCGCCGCACTACACCCAAGCCCCAAACTGATGGCTTTAAGTGAGGATCCTTCCCGCTTTTCCTCCTCTGACTCTGCCGGGTCCTCGATGAGTAACTTCCGCCAACTTCCTTTTGTGAGGTTTAGATCCTCGGGGTTCCCCAGGATGCACTGGTAGCTTGTGCTGCTTTCAGGAGCAGCAGAACTTGAGTGAGGCTGGAGGAGGAAGTCGAGTTACCTGGGGAGTCCCTTTCTGGCTGCCGTGAGGAGAGGGACTTCATGCTGTGGTCCTCTGCGTGTCGCCCAGTGTGATGGCCCCGCACCACAGGCCCAGAGCCACAGGGCCAGCAACCACGGGCTGGGACTGGGATCCACAAGGCTCACTTACTGCGTCACAGTGGCAGGAAGCTGACTCCTATGCTCTCCGAGGTTCCCTTTTATTATTTGTAACATGCACATAATTTTACAGAGTGAGTTGTGGAGAAAGAATATGAGGGAATGTGTGTAAAGCTGTGCACGGCCGACGCACGGGAGTGCTTAGGTGGTGGTTACTGTCATCATCTGACAACGGTGCTGTGATTCTGCCTGGGACCTCAGACTTGCTCGCTGCTGACCATGCAGTGTGGTCCTTACTCTGACTCAGGACATGGGGCCTTTCTCAGTGAGCCCAGATGTTCTGTGAGCTTTCCCGCCGTGCCCTGTGTTCTAGCGCCAAGCCCATGTGGTTTTCCAGCACCGCCATTGTGCTTTTCCTTGTGCCTTTGCGGGAGTGCATTAGGTCCGTGTGTGCTGGGGCAGGGCAGCCTCTCCTCCTGCCTTCTTCCTCACACTTGGAGATCTCTGTATTGCACTGGTGCTGCGTGTGCCTGTGTCACACACCTACTCGTGGTGACTTTCTTTCACTTCTCAATGTTGGTTTTCTTGTCTGATCTGGCAGTTGGATCATAAGTTCTTTAAAGGAAGGCTTCTCTCTGACTCAGCTTTTAAGAGCCATTCCTGGTGCCTTGACCCTGCCGAGTAGGCAGCGGCGCGTGGGTGCTAGGCAGGTTATTTCCATTAATGAATGTAGGAACAGAGTCTGTTTGCCTACTCCCTGTTGGTTAATGTTTGAAATCCACAAGAGTGTGCGTGTATGTATGATGCGTAATGTGTGTACCGTGCACATCTGTTTGTAAGTACACTAGGGACTAACTGTCGTGGTGTTCAGGCTGTTTATTACTCAGGTATACAGACTGGCACTGGAGCAGTTGGGTGGATAAGAAGCCCTGGCTGTGCAGTAGTTTCTAAGTTGTGCTTTTGTGAGTCCCTGTGTGCGGCACACAGCGATCACGTCCCTCGTGGGGCGTCGGTGCATGCACAGGATGCGTCTCAGCGCCGCTCCCTCCCCTCTGCACCGTTGTGATGATAGTGTGCAGGTGAGGCAGAGCTAAGGCGTCAAGATCTAAAGCTCCGGGTTCTGACGTGTTCTGAGTTTACCTCCTGTAGTTTGTGTCACCACGTCTGCCAGAGTTTGCCAGGCCCTGCCTGAGTTATGCGCGAGGGTCAGAGGCCCTTGGTGGGTGATGTGGGCACCACCTCGTAGGGGTCCCAGCCCTGGTCTCGTGCTGGGGGCATGCACAGGGCTAGCAGTGGGCCTCGGCCACGCTCTCCACCAGCAGGCGGCCGGCTTCGTGAGACTCGGGAGCTAACTGTTCTCCATCTCGTTTATTAGGGTTTTTATTGAGTGCGGCTGCAGAGATGAGGTAATGCCTTAAGAACGAATGTTTTATTTGGTTGGCTTCTGAACATGTGAATTTATGGCCTAATGCTGCATTAATGGCTTTTTCCCATTCCGTGTAATGCGAGGTAATGATCGTTTGCTTATTATCGGACTCATCTTTATGAGAAAACCTCCCCTGTGCCAAGTGATATTTCATGTGTGTGCCTGGAGAAAAGGAGCCAGACTGCTGTTACGCATTTCTGAAACTCCGTATGGCAGAGTCGGCAAACTGAAATAGGAGCTATTTGGTTCCACTTTGACATTTTTCAATTATTGTTTTATAAAAGTAGGCCATTTGAGGATGTTTTAAATGTGGATTGCAACTTGTTTTGGCTCTGTTTGTTGAGCCATTCCGAGTAATTCAGTCTTCTCTTTGTGTCTTAATAGTGGCCTAAAAAACTGCAGGTGGAATTTGACTTTTTAATAGAACTGTTCCATGTCAGTGAGATTTTTCTCAGATTTCTGCTTTTGAGACCCCCATAAAGCAGAGTCAACAAGGGTGGTTGTGCTCAGGAGCATTGCCTGTGTAGGAGCTGAGGGCCAGCCAGCCCCCTGTGGGGGATGCACAGCGACCCTGAGTCCAGCTGGCGCTTCTGACCCGCATAGCTTCGGTTCTGGGCCGTGCCCTGCAAGCCTGCTTTTCTCTGTAGTCGGACATGGGGAAGATGGGAATGTGGACCAGCTGGATACCCAGCCTTTGAGATGAGACACTGGAGCACAGCAGTTCAGGAGCCTCAGATTACATGATAACCAATTCCCCCTTTTTGTATCTTTAGAGAAAATAATTTTTTCATATTGAAAATACCCACTTTC